TATTGTGAATACTGTATTGCTGCAAAGAAGCACTTTGCGTTGATTTTGTATATATAAACACATTTTCCTCTCGTGCCGTTTTTTTTTTTTTTTTTTTTTTTTTTTTTTTTTTTTTGCGTTCCTGCCTTAACCCGTCACTTTAGACCCTACATTCCTATACACAAAATGCATGTTTTAGTATGCTCCACCACCCCTCCAAGTTTGTCCCATGATCTATGAAACACCCTGCATAATGTAACAAAGTTATCCACATCATTTCCAGTTTCTCTTTTGAATGCAAGGTACCTTCACTTTATTTCATTAAAAGAGTGTATTATAAATAAGCACTTCGTGTTAGAAGAAAACATTTTGCTATGCAAGTATATTTCGCTTAGTAGGATATTTAAGGAAAATGTACCCAGTACTGCACAGTCAAGTTAATTGTCTGAATTGATCGATTCTGCATTTTTGAACGTTGTGCTTTTTTGTATATTTATTAGATTAGATCTTTTTAAAATGGAAATGTTTATAGATCTTAAAATATTTACGTTTGTAGTAAAAAACTGCATGCATTATAATTTCTGTAGACTTGCTGTATGCAAATTTTTCAGTTGTTGTAAATTAATCATGAAGTGTGGTGAAATTTTTCCAGGGTAGGCGAAGACAGGTATTAGATTTTGAACAAAGGATTTATCACCCCACTTTTAAGATTTATACATAATAAGAAATTTTCGAATTAAATAATGGCTTCCTTTTAGATCTTATGAGATCTTTTAGCAGCAGCCCACTAGAAGCCTAGTGTATAAAATCACCCAACACTGGTAGTTAATCGCCTGCTGCAAAAGTTTCCTCTCTTTAACTGGCACATGAACTTCCTTTGAAATTTCGTTTTCGAAAACACCTTAAAGCAAACAGACGTCGAGTTTATTGTTGAAATAAAAACTAATCTTCCAGCAATTAATAAAACAACAAAAAATTAAAACAATTATTAACTAACTATAATTATTTTCTACTTTATTAGTTTATAAACTCTCTACTTCTTAATTACGAACAAATAAATCTGTGAATATTTCACGAAAGTTTCAGAAATACGAAAATGAAATCATAACATTTTCACTTTAAAGTTAGGTAAAAATGTGGCAAAGTTTATTAATTAGTTAATTAGACAAATAGGACTGTGTAACTAAATACAAATATACTAACACGATTTAAAACAGCATACAGCGTGTATGCTATTGCTTGTTAACTCGAAAACGACAGCATACTTACATCGCTTCAAAGAAAGAGCGCAAATTCTTCTTGTCTTTGCCGGTGAAAGAAAAGATATGCTTTTGAACTTATTTGATAGTTTTAAAACACAGGCAAGCGTTTACAAAACATTAAACACAGATAAACGTTTGCATCAAATGAAGAAAAGTAAGTAAACCCCAGAAAATAATAAAAAGTAAATTATGCCATTTCTCGCTTACCCTGGCCGCACGTCTGTTAATTAAAAGCATATAAAGATTTATAAAGAAACTTTAAAAAATTGGTAATTTATTTAGCATGAAAAGCTGTTAAAAAGGGGGATAAGCAAACTTGTTTTCCATATATGTATCAGTATTATTGCTTACGCCGAAAGAACCAACTGTCATATGAGCGCTACGTAATTCAAATATCCTTAATATGAAAACCTATGTATGGCTTCAGTAGAAAGGCGCAATTAAATCATACTGAGCTTTCAAATGAATAATTTTAGGACATAATATAAATAGCTAGAGATAAATTTAGTCTCAAGAAAATTTAATAAAATATTTATGATTTTACTCAGGTTATGTGGCTAGAATTAAGAATTCGCAGGAACTTGTTAACAGCTAACTGAAATAAACTAGAGGCATAGAATTATTTTGAATAATTTCTTCTTATCAGGAATAGCCTAATGTCTTTATCTCGCTGGCTGTGCCATAATTCGATATGCATTCATTAAAATAACATTATAAAGAGATTATAAATGTGAATTTTGGAAGATTAATAGCATTTTTGAAAATTCTAATATAATTTAAAATGCATCTTGAAAAAAGTAATTATGATTAGTCCTTCTAATCGTTGTTATAAATTTCTAAAGTTGCTTATATCAATGTCGAATTCTCTTCACTGAAAGTAGATTTTAATGGTTCATTCCGTCCGGTTATTTGAAATTTAATCATATGAATTACCATTTTCTAAATTTTAAACAATACAAAGTATAATTAGTAATTATTAGCTGCATCTTGCCAAGATGCAACTAATTTTCAGTTCTTCAAACTGAATTGAGTTTCAATAAAAGAGGTTAAGGAATGTTAGCATAAAACATTTACTTGTATTATCATAAAACATTTACTTGTTTTATTAAGCATTTCTACACAATCATTATTTAAATATTGAAAGAAAGTTTTAAAAGAATACTTTAAAAAAAAAAACTTTTGTCTTTTTTATTTTGCATTACAGTATTTTAATTACATTTAATTGGATTTTTTGTAAATAGGTATTTCTTATATATTTACTTTTTTTTATAAATGCATACTTGTCAAATAATTTTATAATTAATTTTTAAAATATTAGCGCGCTATTTCTGAATTAATATTCCAGCTTCTTTATCTTCTGTTAAATCTCTGCATTCGCAGCTGCAATGCAATCACATTTTGCATTTTTATTATAAAACGAGTACTGAACTTAATCATTTTATGTATCAAAATAACTGTAAAGAGTTGAGATCTAGTCATTATTTTATTGCATGTACTTCATTACAGAGAATGGCATTAGCAAAATTCAAAATAAATAAATTAATTAAAAAATAAGAATGGTTCTTAAATAGTAAAAGTATATCCTTATAACGAAAACTGAAATACTACTTAAAAGCAGTGGTCGAAGTTGTGATTTGATTTCCATGATATGATCATTTCCTTTAATCTTTTAATATTAAATTATTATTTACTCCGAAATAATTCCTACGTTTAAAATTCATTAGATCAAACAATTTCAGATGTTTATTAAACTTTCATGCGCGAAGTCATTTTTTGAAATATTTTCAGCCGGCGTATCTTTGGTCTGCTTCGACCTCTGCCGAATTTTTCTCTCTTAATTAAATTTAATACCATAATGAAGTACTCATATTGTTTTGATGTACAATGTGAGATGGTTGCTTAAGATGATGCAGAAATTCGACCGTAACGCCTAGTTTTATCGAGGAGAAAGCTCGCTTCTCATTCACAATGCAAGCATTTTCATTATGGAATTGTTTGAGGAGAGCAAGCTAAATTCGATTAATTGTCATCAGCAGAGCTAAATAATGGCCAGAAAACTGAAAGTCTCCTACCGAAATCAAGAATCTAAAGCACAGAGAACCTATACGAATCTTCAGGCGGCCCAAACTGAAGCATTACCTAGCCGTCTTCTTCGAATATTATTAATGAGAAAAACGCAAGGAAACCAGATGCATAACTCTCGATCGTAGGAGATTTGTTACTTCTAATATAGTGATGGCTACTTCCAGGATATCAGACAATTCTTAGTGCACAGCTGACTTTGAGACATCGCATTCTACTTTTTCCATGAAGACATATTAGGGAAAACCTACCAAAGAGCGAAGATTCAAGTGTGTTGGGGCTGGACACTGGATATGTATTGCGATTGGACACTGGACATGGTTTAGGACTGGACACTGGACATGGTTTGGGACAGGACACTGGACATGTGTTGGGACAATTTTCTGGGACTTTTGCAGTATCATGAGTCGCGTGGATGCAAAGCAGTGCGCTTGCGCTATTATCAGGTAAGACAGAACCGATTTATGGCATGTGAGAATGACTTCTTTCTGTTGGGATGAAGTACGTACTGCAAAAAGTAGATATGAATTATCTGAAATCTAAAATGTATGTTTGTATCTTGATAGATTTAATTCTGGTGTTTTCTGCTCAAAAGCTTTCTCAAAATCTTTTCAACGTTACATATTATTTAAATATTACCTAAGGGATAAAAAGAAATACCAAATTACCGTTTTAGTACATGCATTTAAATTTTCTTATAACCCTAACTATTCACACATAAAAATATTATGCAATCCTGTTATGCAATGTAAAACATTGACAAAATGAAAATGAGAATTTTAACAAATACATAAACTGAATGGAATATGAATTAGTTCCATACAAAAATTTTTAATACAACTAAAATAAAATTCACTCTTTCTTATTGTTGTATACATAAGTCGAAAAAACTCATTTTCAGAGGGTATTTCTAATGATCATTTAAATATATTGAGATTGAATTAAGTTTTTTATTAAACGATATAAACCATATCATTCTTTAATATCATTTGTGAGATAATAGATTTTCTTTAACTGTATTCACATGCATTTAACAATTTTTTTAAATTCCAGGTCCATGTTCTAAGCAGCTCCTACTAATTAGTTTTCTATTACTTTTAATTGCATATTATGTTATTTTGCTTAAAAATTTTATTTTCCGTTTTTGCATGTATTAAGTATTTCAAATCATTATTTACTTTTCATTTCTTTTTTTCTTTTTCTTTACATTACACGTTTACAACACTCATTAACACGTTACAAAAGAAATTTTTTTTAATCTAATCGCAGATAACCGTTTCCTTAAATAAAACTTTTATTTTAAGCTTAATGTTTATCTCGAAGTTAAAAAGTAAAGCAACCAACTTACACTTTATATATAATTTCAGAATAAAATATTAACTAAAATAATGACAATTTAATTAAATTTTTATAACCTATGGTTTTACCTAATATAATAATTTCATTTGAAGTTTAGAACTATCTTTTGTCAACAGAATGCTATTAAATTTTTAATTAAAGCTTTGCTTCATAAAAATACTTTTTTTCAAAATATTATTTTTCCACATAATAAAATTTTCATTTTTACACTAACGCTGATTTTGTTTTTTCGTTTCTACGCACATTTAATGCAAATAATTGTACTTTTATTTCTTTTGTGTGTGGCTTTATTTTAAAATATGATTTTAACCTTTTCAGATCGTCTCCAGCAATTGAAAACAAAAAAATGTTTCGTTTATTCGGTAGGACATTAGATGTGGCACGCACAGGCGTGCACTATTTCATGTTTGTCATCCTGGTAAGAAGTTCTGTAAAAATAACTGTAGATATTTCTAATTTTTTAGCTTGGTTTCTAGTTTTCAAACAATAGGAACAAAACTAATAAAATGTATGGTGCATTCATAAGTGCAATTCTTATTTTTATATCTTTTCTAAATTTATGGTTCTTATAATTTTCAACAAAGTAATATCTCACTGCAATATAAGTTAATTAAGATGCATGAAATAAATTTTAGATTTAAAGTCTTAATTTAATTTTTGACATTTTAAATTATTCAGATTTACCAAAACATTTCTCTTTCAAACTTTATTTCAAATTTTTCATTTCACAATTGTACTTTTCATTTTTTATTTTTTCCTTCTCTTTCACTTTATTCTCCGTTTTAGCATTTCAGTAGCCATCTTAACAACGTATTTAGATGTAACACTTTCTAAATGCGAATTTCCAGGATGGAATTTAAAACTGAAATGTATTGCTTTAATATTTCAATATCGGTAAAGACAAATAATTAAATAAATAAAAAAGGGGGGAAGGAAAAAAGAAAAAAAGAGAGAGAAAAAAAAGAGAGAGGGGAAAAAGAAAAAGTTTGTGACAGTAAGTGTGAGAAGAAAAGGGTATAATAAACATATATCTCTCTCTATATATAATATGCAACGGGTATAATAAAGTATCAGTGACAAAATGAAAAGAAATAGTCTGTCTTTTTTCTTTTCAAATCCCGCAAAGGTTAGATCAGTATTTTTGGAAAAAAAAAAAAAAAAAAACCACTTAAGAACATAACATTACTGAAATTCCAATAAGAATCTGAAATGTAAATAAAAACTGGGAGTAACAACACCTGGAATAACAAAAGAAACACACAATTTGAGACACTGACATGAATGAATGCCTTGAATTAAAAGTAACCGAGTCAAAAAAAGGCAGCCTAAGTTATGAGCAATAAACTGATTTTTTCTCTGAAAATTTATTTGACTTTTCGGAAAGAAAATTTATACTTCTCTACGTCACTGGTTGGTTGGTTAGACTACCAGAGAGTTCATAATTCAGATAAGAAAATATCAGGCTTGCTGTAGCTAAGGCAAAACACCCTATTATTTGAGGAATCCACAAGAATATGAAGAAATTACGCGGACTTTCAATGATGAAGACTAAGCAATGACGCAAAGGGAAAATATATGATAACTGGTTAAAATCGGTCAAATTTATTTAATATTTTAAAGATGGAAGCGTTCTTTTATAAAAGCTTTATAAGAATTAGTAAGATTACTAATCTTAATTTAATTACAGCAAACAGGGAATCCTTCAATATACCTTATGAAAGCTAAATACCTAGATAATGGTATGCTTTTATGCGCAGCTTTCTATTCCATGCAACTACATGAGCCAAATGATGCATACTCTCATATCAAAGTAGCAAAAACCAAACCAAAAATGAATTGTAAAAATTTTACAAGATGAAAAACAATTAAATATCGTAAGTAAATTGGGTATGAAATGAGCCAGTGTTAGAGCAGTTGAATAAAGTGAAAGTAATGAATATACATTTATTTGTATATGTTTAAAATGCAGCGACTATTTTGCAAAGAATGCTAATTGTGTTATGAAACAAATTCAAATGAATAACTATTGTATTCTTATTTGCAAACGCTTTAAAGAATCTGTTTTCTTTACAATACGTTTAGTGTAGCAGAGAGGATATCTTTAATCTGTGGATGTAAGATAGGCACTTGCCAGCGAAGTTGGTATGGTGGTTACAGATAGAAAGAGTATGTCTACATTAGGTGCTGAAAACTTGAGAAATGCCCTTAAGAGACTAAATCTTTAAAGGAACAAGCTCTTACCAGGATCCTGTTGAAATCATCGTTCAAATTACTAAATCAGCGTTACCTAATTAGCGGCGAGCGACATTTTTAAGATGTTCTTGACTTCAGTTAGAGAGCTTGATGAACGAAGCTGCTTCCTAAGCATTTGTTTATCTATCTGTAATTTTTTACTAGCTCTTAGAGGTATTTATTGCAATTCAAAATACTGCATCTTAAGGGGACTCGGTACCCCAAAATCGATGAAATTACCGATTTTTCAATTTTTTTGCTGAAAAAGTGCCTTAATACCCTTACTACACTGAAGAGAAGTTTTGAAATGATCTGACGATAATAAATGCTATAAAAAGGATTTTAAAACTTTGACACCCCTTTAAATGCCACACCCCCTCAGTGTTTATTTTTTATTTTATTTTATTTTATTTTATTTTTTTACTTCTTAATTTTTTCAGTAACTTAATAAAATCAGTGTTAATGAAAAGAAGTGTAATTAAATATGACTCCACCTATCAAAAAACTCTGTTTATGTGTATATACTGATTTATTTAAATACAAATTAAAGTGAAAAAAATTTTTTCACCTTTAAAATGGCAAGTTTAATATTATACTGTCTCAGCAATAATTTTACGTGTATTATCAGTCACTTTGCTATGCTTATTCAAAAATTGAAATTATCTGTGATTAGATACGAACAGAAAGAGGTGGCGTAATGAAAGTGATCAAGTATCTGACTGTAACATTATTGAAATAGTGCTGGAACAAACATTAAACTCTTTAATTAATTAAAATGCACATAAATTAATTTATAATGCAATTTATATATGAGAACAAATGGCTAAAATAGGAGAAGAAATGACATAAGCTGCTAAGTGGTTTTAAATAAAATGATTTATGTCTGTTAAAATTTCAAATTTGCTTTTTAAAAAAGTCAATAAAACGACAATTTAATCTTATTAATAATGATTATAAGCGTTTTAGAAATATATTTATACAATTCATGCATTAAAATTGTTTTGACGTGTTTTAAAAAACAAAAACAGTAAAGAAAATTCTACTTGCATTTATGATTTTTTTTGCAATATTCTAGCCAGATAAGATTTTAACAGTGCTTGTAATTTATGTTCATATAATTAATTGAGCATTACTAAGTTTTATTTTATATATATATATATATATTGAAATTCAGTAAAATTTTTAAGAATTTGAAATGATTTATGACCATTCAGACAGTTTACATTCTTTAAATTGCGATTTCTCAGTTGGCAATTTTTCAAATATCCTTTTACTTAAAGTCCTAAAACTTGCTCAGATATGGAACAAATTATTTAATAATTTTGATGCTTTTTTAAAATTATATACTAAATAGAATCAAGGATGGGATTTGAAAAATAGTGAAAAGAAAAATTATTCGAAGTAAAAATGTCACTGAAATCATATTTTTCTAAAGTTTTTATACAAAAATGTGCTTTTTATTTTTTTTCTCAGAAACTAATTCATTAATTGCAAAATCGATCCCTAAAGTTATTAAGACTTTTATAAATACAATAAAAATGTAAAGCAAAAATATTGAAAACTGTGGAAGAAGAAAGAATTTTTAGTTGTTGACTTTTTTAAAAAAAATTAAAATTAAAAAAAAATTAATAGCAAAAATTTTTTTTTCAGCTTAAGACCATTTTGTCTCATAAAACTACTTAATATTATTCATAAAAAGTAGATGAAAGTTCTTAAATTTAAAAAAAATCATTCAAAATGTATCGAAGTCCCCTTAAAAACATAAATCAGTGCTTAGAAATTTTGCACATTCAAAAGACTAATGGATCCTCACAAATTTCAGGGACTTATGGTGTCCATTCCTGGTCCCACGTTGATTGACCTCAGACATTCAAGTGGAACAGACTCCAGTAGCATTTCCTTAATATTCTCGGCAAGGTCAGCTGGTTACCTGCTTGGCTCTCTAATAGGTAAAAATCTGCTTTTTTTTTTTTTTTTTTTTTTTTGAATGAAATGCTTTTAGCTTACATTAATATACATATATATATATATTAAATTCCTGTATTTAAAATTAAAATTAAGAAAGCCAATCAAGTAAAATTCCAATTTACAAATTCGTAATTTTTAAATATTTCAAAACTTTTTTTTTTTAATTTTGAAAAGTTTTAGAATTTTTTTTAAAGTGTAAAAGCAATTTTTAAAGTTTAATAGCAAAAGGAAAATCGGCATGGAAATATTGCTTTACAAGCAATGGCTAATAGTAATAGATTAGTTGATATGCATAAAATCGTGACGCAAAAATTGTTAATAATAATTATAGCCATATAAAGAAAATTACGTAAAAATGAACAATTGAAAAGATAATGAAACGATACCGACTCTTCAGGGGGAATTAGCTCATTTTACACTTCCTTCAACCGTTCAGACATCGTGTTTCGTCCTTGCTATGCATACACAAATCGAAAGTAGAAATGTAATTAAATGTAACTACTTAATTCCCCAAATTTAGCAAACTCATATGCATATCAAGAATTCTTCTACACGATGTAAATTAATTTAAAATTAATTGGAAATGGAAAACTTTATTTAAATGAAAAAAAAAAAAAAAAGTTGCAGCAAAATGTAAGTATTGAATCAGTTATATGAGCAAAATATGTGAAAATAAAGCATTATAATGCAAATGTAAATAAAAGGAGTACTCGTAACATTACAAAAATATTCAATTTAATGAAATTTAAAATTTTAAAAATGAATTAGGCCAGAATAATTTTAAAAGCCAAAAACTTACACTGCACATCGTACTAGTAGCAACAATGAAAGGGGTATTATTCTTTATCCTAAGGGCAGGTGTTTTGCTTGCAGTTGCCAGGTTTATGAGAACAGCAGAAATTAAGTTAGTGAAGATGGTAGTTATGGCATGGCTAGAAAGTGAGACTACCTATTAAATCGGATAAATAGGTAAATTTATTTTTAAAATATCTGTCATGGAAAAAAAAAAAAAAAAAATAGAGTAAAAGTTAAAAATATTCACGCAAAACGAGCTGTAATTGCGACTTAAGAAAATAAATTGGTTCCGACTTAGTAAAAGCTTAGAAGCCAGAAAAAGAATATTACAAATTTATACTTCGTACTGTTTACATATGTATAAATCTTCCAATCTTAGCTATCCAACTTTATCCTCCTTATTAAAGGTTTCGGATATAGTATTCATATATCTTATACTAAAAGATTGAAATTAAAATTAATGCCTACCTTTTTGAGATAAAAATTAATAAATTGAGTAAGTATTTGGTTATCCTTTATTGTGCTAATTAGTAAGTAGATTACACTTTTAAAATTTTGAATGTCTGTACAAATATTCCTTATTCTTTTAATTTGACTTCTAAAAGTATTTTCTATTACGTTTTTGGAAAAATTAGAGTTTCAATTGATTAATTTAATAGTAGTGAACTTAAAATATCTTCTTTTGTCAAAAATTTTTAAGGTTTGATGATCAATAATTTGCAAATCAAGTAGTCTATAGCATGTTGATTATTATTAGTAGGATAACGTTTGAGAATGCTAGGATAGATTTTGAGATTTTCTTTTGCTTTATTATTATTGAAAGTAATAATAGCATCTATGTGCCTGTAGGTATTTGTTAATAGTTTAAATTCTAGTTCTTTTAATTTTAGCTGAAATTTATACTGTTGTGTAAAGAGAACTAAATACAAATTTGTGTTGAACTGTTAGAACCCATGGGATTTCCTCTGACCTGTAAAAAAATATTATTATACAATTGAATATGGAATAACGTACACCATAACAAGTTATGGAATAACGTATACTAAAAGAAATTTTGTTCCAATTTTCAATGCTAACTATTGAGTAAACGTGTGGCAATAATTTTGGAATTTATAGAAAATTGTCGAAAATATTTTTAAGAGGTAAAGATTTATAAAGGTTTTCAAAGTCATAGCAGTTTATTTGATGTATGTATAATTTTTAATAGCTTGTATTGCTGGTATGATATTCTTAATGATCCAGCTATAATTGTGCAATTTATAATATAGTCGACAAAGAACACGATTAGAGTGCCAAGTAAACTGTGGCTATAAATGTGAATTTAAATAAAAATGGAATTAATCTGCTTCGACTGCCAAATTTCTTGTTCATTGTGGATCGGCATTTCACTGTTCTACGCAATCAATATTCTTTCTCTTATGTGAGCCTCTTATAATCAATATTACTTATTAAAATAAAAGTTGTATAAAAAGTGTGAAGGAAATTATGCTTATCTACAGGACGAAAATAAAATTTTCAATTCAATTCAGGAGCTGTGAGATCAGCCTGTGTAAAAAAACTTTTTGTAACCTGAAACTTTCTTTAAATTGCCTAATTATTTGGCGAAAAGTGAGTTGCCGTACAGCGGTTTCATAACATTACACAGCTAAAAGGGTGGGGAAAAGGAGCAGTAGCAGCTAATTTGACACTTATATATATATATAAGTGTCAAATAACAAAGTGAAATAACAAAGTACATTGGGTGGCCAGTGTAGATGCTAAGAAATATAGAGAACTTATAAAAGCAGGAAAACTTAACATAAGATCGTCTTGTCTTAGAATTAAAGAATTTTTGAAAGTAACTCAATGTTTTAAATGTTCAAAGTATGGGGCACTTTCAAACAAAATGCCTAGAAACGCAAATATGTGCTAATTGTGGTGAAGTTGGGCATAAACATTGGGAATGTAAAGCTAGTCCAAAATGTATTAATTGCAAAGAGGCAAATGAAAAGTATAAATTGAAGCTTAGCGTTGATCATTCTATCTTAGATAAAAATTGTCATTGTCACAAACGACAAATGGATCTTTTAATCAGTCGTACTAATTATGGCAAGAATTCTTCACGAATACTTTAAAATAGTTCAAATAAATTTATATCACGCCAAAGCTGCTGTAAATCAATTATATATAAAAACTATTGAAAAGGGCTATAATATAGCCTTGATCTAAGAACCTAATGTAGTGGATAATAAAGTTCAGGGAATCCCGATGAAATTTCGAATTTTTTGTGACAAAAATTATCCAAGAGTGGCAATCGTTCTGTTTGACAGCTCTCCAGCAATGCTTTTGTACGCTTCCTCGAATATAGTGGCTATTAAAATGATCATTAATAATAGAAACATACATAGTTTTTGTTTCAGTGTATTGCGTCCCTAATGATGCCTTGAATGACTATTTATATTGTATTAACAGTATTATTGATTCGCATGATGACTCGGAAATAATTATTTGCGGAGATTTCAATGCCAAGAGTCCCCTATGGGGGTCCTTATGATCACTCAATAGATGCAAAAGGTAATGCTATAATTGAATTCTGCTCGACAAACGATTTGAATGTTCTTAATAGTCCTGATAGCCCGGCTACGTTTTCCGGTGCCAGAGGCGAAAGCTGAATAGACCTTACCATTGCAAGATCTTCTTTTGTCTTGAACTGGTCTATTTCTATGGATATATCATGTAGCGATCATCGCTACATTGAGATTGGACTTCTAAACAACTTACTTAGAGAGAAGAAATTTGAACGTTTCTATATTTGGGATCTGAATTGGCTAAATTTTCTTGCAGAACTGTATAACTTTATAAATCAAGTTTCCGAAGAAAATTTAGAAAATACTTCTGATTTAAATATTTATATTAAAGATCTTACTAACTCAATAGTGGATATCTGTAAGAAAAATAAGAAGATGAACAAATTTAAACAGAGCAACGCTCTGGGTAAACAGGTGTATTGGTGGTCCGAAAAACTAGCTGTTTTAAGAAGTCAAGCTCGACTGTATCGAAGAAAATTTCAGAGATGTTATAATCGTATAGAGAAATATTTGTTTAAGATTCAATATAAGAAGAAATTAGCTGAATATAAACGAGAAATCAACATTAGTAAAAATTGTGCATGGGAACAACTATGTGACACTTTGAATATTCATCAACCTTTTGGCATTCCTTACTATATTGCTGTTAATAAATATAAACCAGCTTTACAAATTTCCTCTTTGAAATATCAAGATGGGTCTTATACTAAGAATATAGAAATAACAAAGAAACAGTAAATTACCTCCTACAATATCACTTTCCTTGTGATTCTATTTATGGTGATGTAGCATGTCATTATCAATATAGATCAGATTGTAGGATACCTCCAGAGACCGTAAATGATTATGATTTTACTTTGGATGAAGTGGAATTTACTCTTAAAAAGTTAAATAAAGGAAAAGCTTCTGGTAAAGATGGCCTGACAATGGATATTATTTTTAGAAATCTTTGAATGTAATAAAATGTTCTTTGTAGCTATTCTGAATGAATGTCTTCGGAGGGGGTATTTTTCCTGAATGTTGGAAAGAGGCTGATTTGGTTTTGTTCAACAAAGAAAGGATAGAGAAGATCCTTCCTCTTTTCGCCCCATTGGCTTACTGCCTTCCTGGGGCAAGGTGCTGGATAAACTCATGACCCAACGGTTACAATATTATTTGTTATCAAATAATCTTTTAAATAAAAATCAGTTTGGTTTTATGCCGGGTAAAACCCAGGCTATAGATAATTTAATTTCTGACATCCTTCGAAATAGAAGGAATGGTAAACATACTGCAATGTTATCCTTAGATGAAAAGAGCGCTTTCAGCAATGTTTGGTGGCCAATTTTGTTAAAGGAATTAAAAAAATATGAAATGTCCAAGAAATATCTTCTTATTAATATGTGATTTTCTGAATGAAAGAAAAGTTTCCTTATATGATGGCAATAAGTGGCATCGCAGAAATTATCAAAGGGGTTGTCCCCAAGGCTCAATATCTGGTCCACTTTTGTGGAATATTATTGCTAATATAGCTTCAAACATAACCTTACCCCAAAATGTTAGTATACAAGCTTATGCTGACGATTTTGTTTTATTGGCCACGGGAAGTGGTCGCTATACTCAAGAATTGGAGAAGTGGT